TTGACATTATCTACTGGTTCGGCGTTCCTAACTATATCATCACTGACCACGTAACTAACTTCACTGGAAAGAAGTGCCTAGACTTCAGTGATGGATATGACGTCAGGATCGACTGGGCCTCGGTCGGACACCCACGTACTAACGGTTAGGTCGAGCGTGCCAATGGCATGGTCATCCAAGGACTTAAGCCATGCATCTTCAGCCGACTCAATAAGTACACCGGGTGATGGGTTGTAGAGGTCCCAGTGATCCTTTGGAGCCTGAGAATGACCCCGAACCGATCCACAAGGTTCACACCCTTCTTCCTGGCCTATGGAGCTGAAGTAGTACTGCCCTCCGACCTCAACCATGGCGCCCCAAGAGTGAAGGCTTTCGACCGCGACCGAGCCTCGAAGGGTCAGCAAGACACAGTTGACATGCTCGAAGAGGCCCGCGAGACGACAGTCATCCGCTCCGCTCGCTACTAGCAAACTCTTCGCAGGTACCACGAAAGGAAGATCTAGGGGAGAATCCTTGAAGTCGGCTATCTCGTACTCTGGAGGACCCAATCAACGAAGGAAAAACACAAACTCTCTCCACCATGGGAAGGACCCTATATGGTGACCGAAGTGATCCAACCGGGCACCTACCGACTGGAAGACAAGAACAGCAATGTTCTCACCAACACTTGGAACATTGAACAGCTATGTCGTTTCTTCCCCTAAATTTGGTCTTACCGCTTCTTAGTCAACACTTGCTCCTGTAAAGCACCCTAGCCCGAACACTATCAGCCCGGGTCACTTAGGGGCTCCATAAGGGTATACAATACTAAATACTACCTCTATTTTTTACTGTCGCGTGGTAACAACCTTGTCCCCAAACAGAAGCACATTCCATTCCTTTGATTGTCCTACGTAACTTTGTTCTTACTCCTAACCGAACGCACCCCGCCACGACCTACGATTACGAGCAGCTGAACCCCACGGGCCATGCCTAGGTTCTTAAAAGCTGCAACCTATGGATCTAATGGGCAGGTGCGAAAAAGAAAGGACAAAAACAAAGGCTATGCTAGGATAAAAACAAGGAACGGATAGTAATTCTATCACAAAAACAGAACTGATGTATTCATTGATACAAAAAACTGTTCACACGACTCACCCACGAACTCAACTATTACATTTTCTAACTACTTCTACTCCAAATACTACTACGTCTGCTCGACGACATCGCCTGACACCAAAGGAGAGCCCACGGGTACCTCAAGGGACTTCACTACCACTGCTACAGGGGCCTCGCCCGATTCTGCTCCCTCGACTTCGGCGAGCGCAACGGGTACCTCAAGGGACCCGTCCGGTTCCGCTCCCTCAACTTCGGCAAGCGCAACGGGTACCTCAAGGGCATTGCACCCATAGATCGTCAGCAGAAGAACATGGAGCTCCTGACCTTCTCATGTAGTCGAGGCAGCTCCTGGGCAGGGACACTGCCACCGAGGTATGGCCACCATGGCTGGAAGAGATCTCATCAAACTTTACGAATTGGCCAACCTGAGCAGCTGCAGGCACGGAACCCTCCACTAGCACGATCCTAGGCAACTTCCCCTCTGACAAGGCTCGCCCAGTGAAGATCCACTAGAAAGAATCCACACATAGATCCATCCCAAAAAAGGCCTCGCAGATGAATCCACCGTGCCACCTCCTTCGGCGAAAGCCGCCTCTTCTTAGGCAAAGATGGCCAGCACTGCCTCCAGTAGCCTCCAGCTCGACATCGCGCTCCAGATTCATGAAAGGATCTGTAAGTCCTCCCCCTCGCTTACCCTCTCTAGCTGACTTAGGAACCGCTGTGGCATACAGGCACTCTCGGTGAAGAGGAAGAAGGAAAGGCAAGAGTTTGAGAATAGACAAAAGACTACGACGAGAAGCCCTCTCCCTCTCCCTATTTAAGGAGAAAATGCGATAGCTAAAGAGGGGCAAATGATCAGCGCAAAAACTCTCTCCCTTTCCCCATTCAATACGGATGGGAAATGATGGGACGCACCCTGACCGATGGGACGCACACTAACCGACGGAACAACGTCTGGTCAGACGGAACGATGCTTGGTAAGACGGGATGTGGCCTGGGTATGGCCCACCACTACCGCACGCCGGGCGCAAAAACCAAAGCATCACCATACGCAGGTGGCTCTCCCCCTTCCCAGGCGAGACTTGGAAAAACCCAAAACAAATGGGATCTCCGCCAGGAGAGACCATTGGGCTTTCTAAGTCGATCGAATGGCTCAGAAAAACACACCGAGAGACAGGTAAGGAGCAAAGGGATGCCCCATGTAGGCCATGGCGACTCCATCACAAATGATGAGCATGGGTCTCGGTCAGACATTTCTGACTAGAGCTCTTCAAACCATGTCACTCGAGTCAACAAGGTAACACTACCGACCCCCGCTATTTCTTTATAATCATTTCATACATCCATACACGCATTCATTCCATACGCCCATGCCCCTGGATGATTTGGGCCCTGAACCACCTGGGGGCTCGGGAACTAAGCATCACACATGCAGCGAAATGCATCACAACGCTCCGTATTGCGTCATGAAGCGGCAGTTGCCTCATTCGACATGAGCAACAACCAACTGGTGTTCGAAGGCCAGCCCACGAAGGGCTTGAGGCCACCCCACGTCAAACAAGAGCCAGGGGAGAAAACGCAGATGAGCCCCGTGCAGCCTTCGCCCGGTCTGCCCCGAAGTAGACAGGGTCATCTCAACCTTCTCATTCGATCCTAAACCTCTCACCAAGCCCATAGAATCTCCATTGAGGGGAGGCCATCAGGCCACCCGGGTCGGTCTCCGAAATGACCCAGGCATCTGCCGGGTTGCAGGTAAAGGAGCAGTGGAATGTCACAAGAGGGCTATGCTGACCCCGTCATGAATGACGGACCCGGATTCCACTCGATCATACCCGTTAGTGAACTCATCGAGTGCGTCACTCGAGCCCGAGCGATCGAGGCAAGCGACAAAGCTCAGCCCCTCCAATTGTGAGAAACCGAGGATGGGGTAACGCACACAACTCAAACCGACCCCTACCAAGGCCCAACGGGGCTTGGGGGCTCAAGACACCAAAATGCCTGGGTCTGCGACACTGAACTCGCCCCATCCCTCAGCTACGCTTCAACTGCACACCAAAACGCCTGGGGTCTATGACCCCGAACTCGCCCCATCAGGATCCACGAGCTCCAGCTCGTCTGATCCCTAAAACTAACTAAAACTAACCGCCTCGGTTGCGCGAGCTGCACCAAGGCCAGGATCGACGACTCTGACTCGCTCGATCCCACAGCGCGCACCGACGCCAGGATCCACGAGCTCTACCTCGCCCGATACCAAAACTAAACGCCTCGGCTGTGCAACGACGCCTTAGTTAAATGACTCCGTCTCGACTAAAAAACACACACACGACCGCTGACAAAACCCCCCAGATGATTCTGCCCAAATTGCTCGGGGACACGGGGGCTACACCCGCGGGTGCGCTCGCGCGCACCAACTAACGAAATAAAAACTTCCCCTACTGTCAACATGAAAAACCCCCCAGACGATTCCTCCTGAATCGCCCGAGGGCTCGGGGGCTACACTCGTGGGTGCACTCGCGCGCACCCGCCGTCAAGACAAATATCCCCCAGACGATTCTACCTGAATCACCTGGGGGCTCGGGGGCTCCTGTTGGGTTCATAAACCCAGGGTCCATCGCGGACCGGCTTCCCAAAACAAAGGCTCGGCCTAGCAGGCAGCGTTTCAAACAAACACGCAACTCATGGGCTGGCCCAAGTACCTAAACGACAGGCAGGAAGGGCAATCCAATCACCGACCAGAAGGCCTTCCCGAGGAGGAACATCATCTGTTTCTGACTCTGGCCCACCGCTCCGACCGGAGCGCTCACTTCGGTCTCCAGCCTGCCTCCGGATGGCCTCTCCGACCGGAAAACCTAGCCAAAGCACCGCCTCCGACTCCAATCCGCGTCTCCGACCGGGGATGCGCCAAACCCCTGCTCACTACTCTTCTCCGACTGGCACGATCAGAGCCGACTAGGACCAACCAATCGGGGATGCCCACTCGGTAAGGACCAGGAAATGGATGAAGAAAGTAAAGCAGGGCGCACAAGTGAAAACCGCAATACCGGAGACCATACCCTGTACACCTGCAGAAACAGTGCTCTATGACCTCCCTGGCACAACAGAAACCAAGCTGTGTTGTAGGCGCCGACATTTCCCCTACAGTGTTGTGGGCGCCATTAACTCCCATACGGTAAGGCTCCCCCACATGCCTATAGGCATCGACAGTGTTGTGGGCGCTGGCATTTACCGTACCAGGTGAACATGGTGAAACTCCTCACATACCTCTAGGCATCAACAGTATAGCAGGTACCAACATCTACCATACCTGAACAAGACAACGCAACCTCCCACGTGCATCTGACATCCAACAGTGTTGTGGGCACCTACTATCATCCTGTACCCACCGGCATGGGTAACAAGGCTTAGAAGCATACGTACTCTATCCCTCTCACTTGTAAGGCCATCCCCTTCATCTATAAAAGGGGATGCGCTCTCTCCCAAACATTAAGATTCATTCAAGTTGATTTAGATCCATTAGATCGATCAAGTCCATGAGCACACACTCGAACACTTAGCTCATAGCGGGGCTCCCGTCGCTTTCGGTCCCTCTGACCAGAGTCCGACCGGATCTCTTGTACCCCCCATCTTTCTCCTTCTCATTTGTAACCCCACTGCAAACTTCGAGCACCTAGGCTCAGGAATAAAGTCACCGACCAACTCAAACTGGACGTAGGGCACGTTGCCTGAACCAGTATAAACCTTGTGTCATTGAGTGCTAGGCCACCTCCGATCACAACATACGGCAAAACTATAAATATTTACTTGTTGGTCACTTTCTGCACCGACACAAGTAGAGAGTCAATATAATAATCGGCGTTACCGTCTACTTCAAGCTTAGCAAAACAACAAGCCAAGGCCACAACATGTCTCACCAGAAGGTTGGCATTGGTTGATAAGGAATTTGTGGACGGATGATGATTTTCAGGTACATACAACTCATATCCTAAATTACAGTGCTACATAATTGTTAATGATACATTTATGCAATTTGTAAACCATAAAAGGAGCAACCAAAACTCTATCAATAGAGGAAAGCAAGAGATGGGTCCAAAGTAGGAACTAGATCAATTGCTCAAGTCACTTACGATTGATTTGGTGAGGAAAAAAACTACTAGGCAGATTTCTTTTTCTACTACACATCGTTCTGAATTAGTGAATACATGCTTTTTTATTCCAATGCAGCGAGACTCAGAAACTGGTGAATGGCCTACTGCTATGCAAGTTTGGAGGGCTACATATCAAAAGGCTGATGGGACATGGTCTATTCCAACGGGTGGAGAAATAATGGTATGAACATATTACTTCCCGTTCTGATGGCATCTTTGGGTTTCACATTTGTCAATCTGTATCCTACCTTTTGAACTAGGATTAGGTGGAAGTGGTGTGTTTTTTGTATGAAAAAGTATGGTAGTAGAATTTTGTATGACTCTTTCATGATTATTATCTCTGCAACATAGTTTCTGATGTATTGTTCATTTAATGAGTTGACAAGTCTGGGCACTATAAAATGTTTGCAATATCTCTAATCACGAACAATATCATTTTATTAAGCTGTTTGTAAATTTCATATATTATTTAATTGGTCTATAATTTTCAATTATTAGATAACATGTCTGCATTTTTTTGAATAATAGCAACTCTGAGAACATTTGGATGTCATACCATCCTATAGCTAATTTGTGCTCATACTTATGATTTGTTAAATGAACATTTTTCCTGTTGTGTAGTATATGGGTTCTTAATTAGTTTGTTTTTCATGCTTTGTAGACCAAATAACATGAAGTTGCTGAGATACATCAAGAAAAGATTTCTTCTGCGCTCGTGCCTATAGTGGAGCACTTCGCACTAGTTCTTGGTTGAAAGCCAAACCATTCACGTTGTGTTGGCATTCGTGTTGTAAACCGAGTGGCTGAGGAAAGAATCAGATTGCAAGCGCAAATTGAGGCTTCTGAACAGCATGAAGCTACAGCTCGAGCACGTGCAGATGCTGCTGAGCAACGTGTTGAGGCTGCTGAGCAACAAGCACAAGCTTTGGAAGGCCAAGTTTCCGTGGTGGTCGAAACAAATGCACAACTGCAAGAAGAGCAGCAATCCCAACGTGACGAGCTAAGTTCTTTGTGTCAAGCACAGAGTGGAGAAGTTGCTCGCCTAGTGAGAGAACAACTTGATCATCAAATGGCTGAATTATTTGAACGCATTGGTGCCTCGCGGCCTCCAGCATCTTAAAGTTTAAACCCATTTAGTTGAATAATTATTGTGAGACTTTAAAGTATTGTCCAGAGAGTTATTTTGAGGTTTGAGTGTTCTCAGTTTTATGTACTACTTGAGTGCCAAATTTGAATTATTGAAATAAATATTATTGGTGTAGATTTGAGATAATCATATTGCTATAATGTACATTTGTTGAGCTATTTTTGTCACTACAACAAGGATAATAATGATAACTTGGTCGCCACAACATCTAATGTGTTTCACACAATTGAAACTTATCTTGTGACAAAACTTGTCCCGACAAATATTTTCCTACAGATGCTATGCTTTTTGTGGTGAAACTATTGATACATTTTGTCTTGTCAGTTCTCTCAAAAAGATAATTTTTTGTGACAAAGGTTTGCCACTGTACTTTACATGTGAGGATAAGTTTGCATCACAAATGAAAAGTATTTGTGTTAACAAGTTACACTTTTTCCCCATACAAATTGTGGCAAACAATTAGATACAATTATAATTTAATAGTGAGAACAAGCATCAACATGACAAACTAAGTAATGGCGAAACTTCTATCACTAATATGTAGTCTCTAGTGACCACAAAATTTGTCACTTTTACAATGGTAATTGTGATAATTATATTGCCATATATTCTGTATAGTTGTGGTAACTATTATCACCACTAAAAATATTACGAGTGGCATAATTTTTTGCCACTAATTCATAAGTTTTTGTGACAACGAATGGGCCACACATGGCTATGTTACTAGTGGCAGTACAATTTGTCACTAATGAGTATGGTTATTTGTCGGGAACAAATATTCATCACTAGAGTATTTGTGAGGCGAGTATTTGTGGTGATTTAAAAATTCGCCACAAAGGCTGATTTGTGGTGAAAAATAAGCTTTTGTGATGAAAATTTTTGCCACAAAAACCCTTTGCCCTTGTGGTGACAAAAAGACATGGAGGAAAATACAGAAGCCACGTTGTGATGCAATCTCCATCCATGAAGCTCAGGGTCAGTTGTGTTTATGTACTGCTTATATTTACACTATGACTCAGCTGTCAATCTAGATCCTTGAAGACTATGGTAGTAATAAATGAATAATGAAGCATACGGTGACCACACTGGAGATATTTGGACAGAACAATATTGAATTTGGTTACGAGGTTTGTGATGCGGAGTATAGAGTGATTGCAGTTCGCCTTGAATGGATTTGATTTTCCTTGTTGGGAAGGACAGAACACTGCTTGCATATGACATGACCACAAAAAAGTTCATGTCCTCCCTACATGGGTCATCCGCTGTCCTAGACCTACCTGAAGTCTATGTATCAACAGACCCCACTATCTTCCTTATGTTCCCTTATTCATGGAGTATTAGTAGAGTAATAAAGGTGCATTTGCTATATTTTATTTGTTCAGGTAGGTAATTGTTTTGGTTCTATATAGGTCAATTTGGGCTTAGTAACTAAAGGAATGATGTGTTTAATATCATTCATTTTGCGGCTTTGTGCAGTTGGAGTTTGAGTTCTTTTGAATAATTTTCGTGCATTGGCTAAGGGAGGAAGAAGAGGGTTTCCATGGTGCATTGGCTACCAATGCGAAGGATGCACAATCATTTTTGCCTAGCAAACAGGAGTGTCACATAGAAGGAGCACACCTACGTCATTTTGTTATGTAAGTCTGTAAAGATTAGTAGCTTTAGTATGCAATCTATGTACCGGTTGTGTTAGGACATCAGTTGAGAAAGATGTTATGGTAAGCATCCATTGTTATTGTAAGAACATGGTTTATGGATATAATGATTACATCTATGTGCTTTGTGTTCAGTAAGCTATTAAGGGCAGTTTATTGTTTTGTTATCACAGCCACCATTGATGGTGCAAACGTCTAACACCGTCGCTACCGTATGATGCGGCATGGATCAAAAGTATATCACCGTCGAATCATTTAGTAACCCAGCACTAACTCACCGATCATCAAACGCGTATTGTGGTGCAAGGTGACGGTGACCATGAACTTTATACTAATGGTTCATATACGTTGAAGCGACGGTGATGTTTACCTCTATAGACGTCTCGGTCGTCGAAGCGATAGCGAACCTGCATCGCAGACAGTCGGGTCAAAGTATAAAGCGACGGTGCTAGTGACCACTACACAGGCGGTTGATGTGCCCACACGACGGTGATGATAGCCTCCACACAAGCGGATCATTTGCCAATGCAGCGGTGTTAGTGTATACCCACAACCGGGTCATGCTCCAATGCGACAGAAGTAAGGACCTTATCATGGACGGATGATAAGCCACTACGACGGTGTAGTGTACACCATAGTCGGTCTCAGATGACGACAGTGATGGCTATGACCATCACTGTCGACAGCTTACTGCCGAGGCTGAAATTGGACTGCGATGGGGGTTATGATGTGGCTATGAAAGGTCTTAGTGTAGTAGTGAATAAGATCACTATAACACCCCAGGTGTTAAGCTTGCATATTCCACTTGCATTGTATGAGCATAAGCATCATTCATTCATTCATGAGTATGAGCATGTGAATTGTATTTATTTACTCTATGTTCTTTCCATGTGATGTTTAAATTAACCGTGTGTATGCTATATGATCATGCTTGTTAATGCAAGTGAGTGTTGCTTGAGCACCTAATCAACCTAGACACACTCAGGATAAAAAATGTGTTAGAGTTTATATTCATACTTTAGGCTAAAAATGCTTTTATATGCTAGCTGACCTGAAGTAATTTTATTTCAAGATGCTAGTTTGATCTGAGCCAATCTGTAGCTTAGAGTGCTTGCATGGAATTTAACCTTAAATAAAAGTTGTAGTTCTGGTCGAGTAGAGCAAACTTTGTTTAATAACCTTGACCTAGATCAGTGTCTAACCTCGGCTAATAAAGCTTCCAAAACTAAACCTGCTGCTATTTTAAGTTCCCAGAAGTTGGGCTAAGTCTGGATTGCTGAAAGTTCAGTTTTCAGTTTTGATGTAGCCTTCTTTGGGAATTTGTATGTTGCAAACCAGTTCGATTTAGACCAAGCTCCTTTAATCAAAGTTGAAGTACTTATGGAGCTCTACACATGGAACAATTGGTGGGATAAATCACTAACTGGTTTGAGAGATATGAAGGGGAGAAATGGAGTTTCAGTTGTATTTTTGCAGTGGTATTAGTCAGTTCCTTGATAGATTTTGAATCGGCTGGATCGTGAAGTGGTGGACAGGCCCAGGCCGCGTGCGCCCGGCGACGACCGTACGCCGTCGTCGGGCCCATGCCACCGCGTCCTGGGAAGGGGAAAAGAGCGCCGCGCTCTCTCTCGCCTCCATCTTGATCGCTCCCTCTCCCTCTCGCTCTGTTTCGTTCTCTCTCGCACTCACCATTGCCGGCCAAGCAGAGCTGCGCCCATCAGCGCTGCTCGTCCCCAAGCTTACCATCCTTGCGCCCCCTCCAGCACTCCTCTCCACGCCTCCGAGCTACCGCAGCCGGTAGCGCGTCTGGCCACCGCTGGCTGGCCAGGCCAGTCGCCGTAGGCCGCCACGCACATGCAGGCGCTGGCGCCGCCAGCAGCCTAGCTTGGTCCGCTGGCCGCCTCTGGCCGAGCCAAGGCCACCCCCGCGCGCGTCTCGTCTTTCCGGTCACTCTGACTCCTCTGACAACCGTCCTCCCCATCAGAATCGAGCTCCCACCGTCGATCCTCTGTTCTGTGTTCGTAAGGTTGAAGAAAAGGCCAAGAAAACGAATTAGAAACTCTTTATAGGTTTCCTGATCCAAGATGTTTAGAGAGTAGTTTTACAGATCTAGGCTTAGTTGATTAGGGGAAAGTGCAGGGTCTTTGATGCAAAATTGTTTGTCCTTTTCAGTTTAATATTTTGTTTTATGCATAAATCAGCTGAAACTTCTAAATTGCATAGTAAATCATATAAAATCATAAAATGGAAAATAAAGATATTTTGGAATCCCTGTGAGTAGATCTATGCAGTAGATGTATAATCTTGCATGTTTTAGTAGACAAATCTTGCTTTAGATTTATATCTATGCTTTTTAGGGTTTTCTAGAAATAAATTCAAATCTGCTGATATATTGCTTCAATTGATGTGAAATTTTTATGCTAGGTTATTCATGTGATTCTTGTGCTGTTGTAAAAATTTCAGCTTCATTGGATGTAGTATGTCTGATCTTTTGATTGAACTTGTTTAGTGCTTGATAAATAGTTTATAAATAATATACATGTGTAAAAATGGAAAATGTGGTTCCACTAGCTTTGCATGATATTGTTGTAACCTAAGGAACCTTAATATAGCCATGTGTTTGCATAAAATGTTGATTTATAGATTTATCTTGATCTCACATGGTTTGTCACAATTAAACTTTGTTTTTATTGTGATAATTAATATACAAGACCTGAGCATGTAATATTTCTACAGTAGCTATGTTTTGATATTACCTTTTAGGTGTAAAAATTACAAGTTCAAACTAGTTGTTTGTAATATCACCTAGAATGAATATATATGTTTTAATATATATAAGCTAATGAAAGTTTAATGGGAGGTAATGCTTAATTGATGGTTGTGATGCTATCCATGCTGGTTGATAGTGGTTGGTTGCTGATCACCATGCTAGTGCTGATGCAAAGCTTGGCATTTTACATATGTGTTGCGATGCTATAATTAAGTTGTATGTTGATCTATGCAAAAGGATAGTAATTAGTGATATAAATATCTCTATCCATGATACTTGTGATGCTCACTTGCTTACACGAACTTGGAGATGTTGTTGAGTTATGTTAGTTTTGGTTAAACCCTGAGATGGCTTGCATGTGTGCTCTCTTGTTAAGTACCACCACTAGGGAGTATGTTGTTGAATAAACTTTTAATCTTTCCCTTACCGCTTGTTTATATGTATGACATGGGTGTGTTAGTGTGCTTCTCATATTAATGATGGCTAATGTTGTTAACTATATGGATAATAGTTTGTGGGCTACGCTTTTAGCAAATACATGTAATGTC